TGGGTTGGGTTGTGTGGTGGTTGAGGAGAAGAGGAGCCGAGCCGTGGGGAAAGGAACCTGGACGGGACGTGGAAGGAAAAGAAGGGGTCGTGGAATTTCCCATTGGCAAGACACAGGAAAGGGGAACCGCGTGCAGGGCAGTCGCCGGTCGAATGGGATGGCCAGCCGCAGGAAAAAAAGAGAAACATGGGTCCGGGCGCAGGTACAAGGCCGATGTACCTTTTCTTTGCCAGACAACAACAGATGGACATCCAGTCAAAGAAAGCCAGTCCAGTCGGTGCAACGCTCAGAGCCCACCTCAGCAGAGGGTGGGTCCTGCGCGTCTGACGTTGAACCACGTCCGGCTTCCATATCCGGCATAGCGTCCCAGATAACCGCGCCTGCTGCAGGGTTGTGCAATGTAAACCATGCCGAGCCCAGAGGAGGGGCAGCACATGGGCCAGATCTCTCTCCACTGGGGGTTGCATACCGTACGTAGTCGTACGAATAGGCGGGCAGGCAGCGAAGATGAAGATGTTGGGCGCGGTTGCCTCTCTACCTCCTCTATGGACCATGCAGAGAGAATTAATTGGAAAATTACGATTCAGCTGAGATGACAAGCCAAGCAGATGCATCCGATGTTCTGTCTCTCTCTCCTCAAGTCTCACCCCCCCTCCGCAGGTGCTCGTCACACAGATGCTGGCGCCACGAACACAGAGCTAGACATGTTGCAGAATCTGCAACACGCCACAAGAAAAAAAAAGAACGTGCATAATCCTTTCTTTACTCCCTACAAAACATGCTCTGCGAACACAACGGACACAAACGCCAATTCGTTTTTCTAGCTGGCTGAGGATAGCACGGCGGAGCTGGACGATCGACGCAGAAAAGACATGCGCATAAACAGCCGAAATGGCCTCGGCGCTGTAGCCCCTTCGGACACGAGATAGACGCTGCAATCTCTCTTGCGAGATCTCGCGAGATCTCGCGAGAAACACAATAACCCAACACATAAATGATGGTTCCAATGCCACGCAATTCTCGCTCCTCAAACACTGCCCAGCAAGTTTCATATTCCATTTCCCGCACCCGCAGATTGATGTGCATGGTGGTACTGTAGCCAGCGCCCGGTGCCAATCAAGTGGAAACACCAGGCGGCCCCGGCACAACCGCCGCAGCGAACCCCCATCCAAAGTTTTTTTTCTGGAATTTCGACGGGGGACGATCGACGCTAATGCAAAACCTGGTGTGGCTCAGTCCCGCCTGTCAGCCACAACTCTAAAACGGCGCTTTTTCGGTATTGCACTTGGGACGAGCCTCCTGACGCTAAGCCGCAGCCCCGCCGTTGTGTATTCGAACCTTTTGTCGACATTCAGTGCATGCACCTAGAGTGCGAATTTTTGAGCCAAGTGAGACAGATAAAGAGCTGCGGGGGTTTTCAACGCAAATTTCCGCCCCCATGACCCTGTGTGTTGTACTCCCATCTGAAAATGAGCTTCAGTTCGGGTGCCGCACGGGCTCTTCCGGACAGGGCAGCTTCGAGCAGGGGCCCAAGGTGAGGTAATCCAATAAAACAAACGGTACGTCACTCCGAGGAAAAAAGAAACCCCCCCACCTCGCGATCTTTGTCTCTGAACCACCGTAACCTCAAATTCCACCACCGCCGGTATACAGGTCAAACGCAGCCATGGACGGCACGCTTTTGGTAGGCGACATTGTCGAGAAGGACACGAAACCCGCGAAGCCCGTCGTTTTCGACGACTTTGACGCCACCCCGACCGGCTTCCCAGCACACAAGAAGCGCACGCGAGTGTCCGCGTTCAAGCAGCAGCGGCAGGGCAAGGACATCTCGGGTGCTCAAGCTGCTACGAGCGCGCTGGCAGCGAATGCGAGTGAGGCGAAAAAGACAGAAGATGTCAGCTCTTCCAAATCCGAGTTCGAGACGGCCGAGCGACGGCGAATCGACCGCGAGAACCAACAGAAGCTGGACGACATGACACCAGAGGAGATTGCGAGAGAGAGGCGGGAGCTGTTAAGCTCGCTTGACCCGTCCCTCATTCAGCGACTTCTGGGCCGGGCAAGTATCGATGAGCAACACGGCCCGAACCCCTTCGATCCGCCAGTCGCGAACGAGACCAAGGCCGAAAAGCCGTCCGCGCCCGCGCCTGAGATTAAAGTCGAAGACACCTCCGCGCCACCGAAGCTCAAGCCGGCGCCTCGGGCTGCCCCGACGGAAGCAAAAGAAAAGTCGGTGTCTGTAGATGAGAACAAGGCGCCGGCCGCGCCTCCCGCGGACCTCTTCCCCATGAACGATCAACCCGACAAGACGCACTTCCCGGCCGCGCCCGCTTTGCCCGACTTGGACCCATCCCACCCCGACTTCCTCCAGACACTTCATGAGAAGTTCTTCCCCAATCTACCTGCCGATCCGAGCAAGCTTGCCTGGATGGCCCCGATCCCAACCGCCGACAGCCCGGCCGACCGCGAGTCGCCGTACTATCCAGGGCAGTCATCACTCCCGATTGCGAACCTTCGCTTCGACTTCCGCGGTGGCCTGATCCCTCCCCGTTTGAGCAGATCGATTCCCGTATCCAAAGGGCTACACCACCACGGGCTGGCACCAGAGGCAGCGGGATACACTATCGAGGAGCTGTCTATCTATGCTCGCAGTGCCGTTCCAGCTCAGCGCTGCATCGCCTTCCAGACTCTGGGTCGTATTCTCTACAGACTCGGCAAGGGCGAATGGGGCACCGGAGAAGAAGACCAACTAGCCAGAGGTATATGGAGCAGCGTTCAAGAGGGCAGGATACTGGAGAGTCTCGCCGAGGCGGCCATCGTGGAGGGTGGGCACAGGGGAAGTCGTGCTTATGCTACGGAGGCACTCTGGCTGTTTGAGAAGGGCGGTTGGAAGGAGCAGTGGTCAGGCCGATGATTGAAGCTTGCAAGAAAAGCGCCCTTGGGCAACCGGGCCGGCAATGATACCATCATGAGAACATGATTCGCGAGGCTTCGCTGACTCGGTGACGGCAGAAACTTTGCATATGTGACGTTCGGAAGGGTGGATACCGTTCTTTATGAAATAAACCTGTGGAGGATGCAGCGTGTTCGGGTTCTTACTTCAACGTCGGCCGACGCAGAGGAGATTCGGAGCTACAGCCACATTCCGGTTCCGCAACATGCGCCATTCACGATCGAGGCAACGTCTGCGAGATCGGCATCGTCAAGTGCGAGACTCGTTCCGCATATTGCGCTCAGCGGGCTCACATGGCGACAACGTGCTCAATCCGGGGTAGCATTACTTGCAGCATCATGCGGAGGGCGGGCTCAGCTTCGCGGGACAATCCGGTCTGGGCTCTCCGATCCGCATGTCCAAGCAGGGAGTCAAGTGTCCTGACTCTTTTATACGGCCCAACCCAGCTCGGTCTCGGGAACACCCAACGCCTGACGCCTTTGTCATGGCATCCTTTCTTGTGACACGTGCTGCGTCTCCACATTTCTCGATAAGCATGTGCTATGGTTACAGGGAGGCGTCGACATGCAAATCTGGAGTGTCTGTTGGTTCGATGCTTATGTGCTACCACTGGGGCAATTTGGGTCTATAGAGGAGCCGTCCGACCAATGTGAATTTACCCATATTGTACCTTGTTATGACGTCCAGCAACATCAGAAGAACTCTCCCGGAACTTGGCGAGTAGTTAACCCAAACGTTTCCACGAAGGGAAAAGATAGGCCGGCTTAGGTTTCCAAGGACTTGAGACGGCAGAAATGTAAGGCGACAAAACCACGATTACAAGACCAGAGTACGATTGTAACGCCTTGCCGGCAACGGGCAGCTGATCCAGTAAAAGGTTACGCTTGACCAGCTTTACAGCTCACTAACAACGAGCCTAATGTCGTGCAGGGCCGTCTAAGCCTCGACGATTCAAACGCGCGCCGCTGGAACCTTCGTCGTAACCTGTCGACATCGTCTCCATCGAACCGTCCCCTTGGGCCCAGGGCAGGGCTGTCTGACTCTCAACAAGGCAAAAACTCACGGGTGAGGGACAAACGCCCGTATGGGAGAACGGGCACGCTTGGCCTGATTCGGCGAGGCGAGGCTGTTTCCCAAGACCCTGCGCAAGGAGAGTAGTTAGGAAGGAATCGGGAACCACAAAAGACCCTGCACAAGGCCATCGGTGTTCCGTTCCCCGGATGCTTTGGAGCGGATGACCCGGGACCTCGTCTTCTCTTCTTGCGTGACTGAACTTTGATACACCTGTCAGCCAGTCTCGAGCGGCTCGCAACCACCAGGGCTTTCGCAAGAAAAGTCTGGGATGCTCCTGACGCCAGACAAGGTCCGTCCGTAGATAAAGTTTGTGTTTGTTCCAGAACCTCTCAACTTTGACTCGGTGGGACCACTCACGGATCTTGCAGCATGAGACGATGCTTTCGTGTCTAAACTACAGCCGTTGCCGTCGGAGCCAATCACGGCTCGGGTGGATTTCCCAACAACCCCTTGGTCAAGCCGTTTCTGAGCTTCAGACGTAGAGCCAGGATCTGGACAAACACAAAGAGAGGGCGGGGCTAGTGCGACGGTCTGGATTTCGAAGGAGGGGGGGGGGGCAGCACAGATTCAGGACGTCGGGGTAATGGTCTGCACTTCGCCGAATCGCAAGTCGAGGTCGTCGTCTTACTCGTGTCGTGCCCAAACTACTGCTCACCCCCTTCGCGGCATGGCTGCTACTTGCGAAACCTCATGCCGAGATATCATATCAAAGACCCCTTCCCCTATTTCTCGCCTGATCTAGTACACGATTGTCTTTTCTCGGCTGTAGTTTCAACACCCTTTCTTTTAATCCCACCGGGCCCCGCAATCTTGACATCGGGAGCAACCGATCGTCGCCCTTCTTTTAACCCGCGTCGCCACATTTTGTTTCGATGGATGTCATTGCTTGAGGACTCCACCGTTGATGTGATACACGATCATCCCCGCGGAAGAGGAGAAGAGGACGTCCCGTCATGGAACCGGACTGAGCCCAGTGATGAGCAGCTCCTCCAGTGGTCCGATCGGAGCGGCGCCGCCGCCTCCCGGGGAGACGCCCGACTTTGCGAACCCGCGAGACATCTTTCACACGCTGCATACCGTCTACATGGCCATCATCCAGGTCGTTGTCGTCGTGTTCTTTGCGATACGGGTGTATGTGAAGCTGTCCGCCCATGGAAGGTTTAGACTGGAGGACTGTAGGTGTGCCGGCCGACGCTGCTTGATGTTAGCTAACAGGGTCGCAGGGAGCTGTCTGCTTGGATGGGTGAGCTTGGAACGATTCACCGCTGCATACGCATAGCACTGACTCGATAGTTCTTTACTGTGTTGCTCAACGGTACCGTGTTCTTCAGTAAGTGAGGCAGCTACCCCGCGACACCTTTATGTGGCTGACCAAGACAGAGCTTCGGCACGGAGAAGGATATCACATTTGGGAGATCACCGAGGCCAACTTCCTAGAGCTGCAAAAGGTAAGGCGACTTGCAGAGGGAACAGCGCCAGTGCTGACTTCACCAGTGGCTCTACATCAGCTCTCTCCTGTACACCCCGGCCGCCTTCTTCACCAAGGTGGCCATCCTGCTCTTGGTTGTGCGAGTCTTCTCCGTCGACCTGTTCGTCGCCCGGACACTGCACGCTCTGCTGGTCTTCTTCCTCATTTGCTACTTCCCGGCCCAAGTCGCCAAGACACTGGTCTGCATCCCCATCAACGCCTTCTGGGATCCCACAATACGGAATTTCAAGTGCATCAACCAGACAAAGCTGTTCATATACGACACCACGCTGGGCATCGTATCCGATCTCGCCATTCTGCTGATCCCCGTGATCCTGACGTGGACCCTGCGTGTTTCTTTGCTGAAAAAGGTCAAAATCGTAGGGCTGTTGGGAGCTGGCGGCGTCGCGGTAGGCATCACCGCCTATCGGATGTACCTCGTGCTCAAGTTCGAAGACACGACAGATCCAACCGTCGACTTTGTCCCGCTCGACTGGACCGTGTAAGTTGGGTCCGTCCACACAACGGGACGCATTGCTGACAACCAGCAGCACCGGAGAGCTCGCCATCGGGCTGATATGCGCGTGCTTTCCCTCCATCAACTACCTCCTCGAGCAACGGTCCCTCCGTAGGATATCGCCCAACACACCGCGGTCGACGTCGTCGTCGTGGAGGAACACTTCGAAAAAGTACATTGACACGTTTTCGTCTTGCTGCTCAAGGTTCACGGGCGGGAGCACGCGGAACAGGACGTGGCTGCGGAGCACCAACGCCACGAGCAGGGACAGGCTGGCCTCTACGCCGAACTGGACACCGAACATGAGCCCGGAGACGGAGAGAAGCGAGCCGCGGCGAGAGGACTACGACATTGAGCTTGCGGTGCTCTCACGGCGACCGACGCACAACTTTGATTCGCCGGGCCCGTCAAGGGGTCCGGAGGGCGGTGATGAGGGCTGGCTGGGTCCGCTGCCGATGTTGAGGCCGTTGCCGGATGTTGGGCGGGAGTGCCCAAGTAGGTGACGAGGTGGATCTTGGTATTTACTTTAAAGAATTTCGGACAATGGCATGCCGAGCTCACGCTGAAGCATTCATCGCCATGGTCCAAGACGTATCAGCATAGACACCGATACGACCCCTGCAATCCGTGAGGATCAATGAAGCTTTAGAGTAAGTCACCCTAAGTCACCCTGGACAGAATACGGCCGCCGTCATTGATGAGCTGACACCAAGCAGATGCAGTCAATGCCAATGGTCCGCCTCACATTCGCCAATCTGGTATCTGTTGTGCTGGAATCAGTGGAAGGAAACCCTGTGTGAAGCACAGAAGCCGGGCCTTAATTTCCGTCCTTGTCATGCGGAGACGCAGCGCAAGGGCCGAATCCACGCGGTTCATGCGGCGACGGCAGAGGTCCTGTCCCTGTCGCGGACGGAGGCTGTGGCTGATTCGAGGAGGTGTCAGTGCCGTGCCCGCGTTGCAGCAACCTTAGCCTTGCAATTACGGCAACGGGTTCCGGTGCCGGTGGTGAGGTTTTGGGAGAATCGTGGGAAGGCCATGCTGTGGTTGTTGGCCAGCTAGACCGAGAGCCGTCATCTGTTTTAAAAAGATGACAATATCAACGAGGAGACGAAACACAGCAAGCCAATGGACTTGGTGAAGAAGCGATGAATAAGACACGTACAGAATCCAGGCGGGACGAGGCAACGATTGGGTCTCAGCAGCCAGCCCACTAAAAAGCACTGGACCCTTCTCTCCTCCAGAGGACCAGAGGTCTTGAATGCCGGCGCCGTAAGCGGGTGGGAACATGTGATTGGCCCAGAAGCTCTCGCGGCGCCTGGAGGGAGCAGCCGAGACTAGGGTCACGCCTTGCGCGCTGGAAATCCCATGGAACAAGGCCGGGCCCGGGAGTTGTGGGCCACCTCACTTAGGGAGGTCACCTTTGGGCTGAAATGGTGGTCCAGTCACCGGGCACCCTCAGTGGATGCGGCCGGCGGACGGTGCTGTGGCTTTCAGCACTGGCATTGACTCTAACATGTACCTTTCAGCAGAGCTGAAGGACACCTGACACCACGTCAGCAAACCGCCCTCCATACGACGTCTTGGGAGGAGCCAAATATGATTATCGTATAAATAACTCTCTGTTTGGACCATCCAGTGACCAGTCAGCTACACATGTACTCCCGAGTTGTGAGCGTGTGCAATGGGGCCAGATTGCCCTCAAGCATCTTGGACAGTGGTACTTGCATTGGCAGACAACACCTCAGACCATCTCACACCCCCAGGCCAACCACGGCCAGCAGCGCCTCAAGCAACGGGCCGGTAGGTACTTTCCGCTGAATCCCCAGTGACAAGGTACCTGGCAAGTGCTCGGGCAAAAAAAGAAAGAAAAAAACACACAGAGGTGAGGCGACCGGGGTGTGCCAGCAAGCAGCCAGCAATCCAATCCAGCCAGTGCCAGTGCCCATGGCGAACCCGCGAAGGCGACGGAAGTAGAAAAAAAATATTCACAAAATCCCACTTCGCCTTTCCTACCCTTCTCTTTTTCCCTTTCCCTTCTCCAGCCCACACAACAACACGCACCGTTGCACGCCAATCCCCCCCCCAGGGTGCTTCTCTCCCCATTCCCCTTCTCCTCCCCTCGCGTTCTTCCCATTTTTCTTCATTGGGTTCTCGTCGCTCAATCCGTCAATCGGTCATCGCCCAGCCTAGCTGTCCAGTCGTCGAATCCCCGTCGTCTGCCTCCTCGCCCATCGCCCGTGTGTCTCTGCACATCTCGATCATCCCCGGACGAATCAAGATTGCTCCGTCAGCTCATTCGCTGCTCGGTCACACGCCATCTCGTCGACAAGCCTTCAAGACTTTTTCGACGCCAGCTTTGTCTATCAAATCCCGACGTTAGATCAGAAAACATCGCCCGTCTCGTTTCGTTCGCTCGCCGACGATTCCATCACAACAAGCTTCCTTGCACACGAGCATAGCCGGAACATCCATTGATACTCCGTGTCCCCTGTTCGACCTACAAGCAACTTTCACCAAGCTCCATCTGCCTTTGTCCGCCCATCCCGACGACATCGACATCGACATCGACGACGACGACCTCAGGTCTCACCCCCGATTGAAGAAGAATCAAATCCCACCCAAGAACGTCCAAATACTCCGACAGACATCTGCTCTAGATACACACTGTGACTTTGACTAGTTATGGCGTCCTCATCATTGCAGTTTGCCTACCGAACCCAGAAGGGCATCGGCCTGTTTGATGCTGCCCCGGCCTACCAGCCGCTCTCTGGATTCGTCAAGCCCGAAGGGAACCTCCGGTGTTGTGGATACTCGCCCTGCGGCCGATACTTTGCCTGGGCGAGCCCCGAAGTTGTCACTGTTGTCGACGCCTCCACTGGCCAGCAGGTCCTCGCCCTCCCCATCCTCAACGTCTACGAGCTTGGCTTCTCTCCTCTCGGCACCTTCCTCATCACCTGGGAGCGACCCGCCAAGGACGAGAATGGAGACGCGACCAAGAACCTGAAGGTCTGGCGCACCGTCGAGGAGGGTGTTGCTGGTGCCGACAAGCTGCCCCTGGGCAAGTACGTCCAGAAGTCTCAAGGAGGCTGGAACCTTCAGTACACGGCCGACGAGAAGTACTGTGCCCGTCTCGTCACCAACGAAGTCCAGTTCTACGAGAGCCACGATCTCGGCACCGTCTGGAACAAGCTGAGAGCCGAGGGCGTTGCCGACTTTGCTCTGGCGCCCGGCCGCTCCTACGCCGTTGCAGTCTTCATTCCCGAGCGCAAGGTACGTTTACACGCCAAGGCATCACGCCAATGCAATCGCTAACTTTGTCCAGGGACAACCTGCTGCCGTCAAGGTCTTCAACGTTCCCCAGTTCAACGCCCCCATCTCCCAGAAGACCTTCTTCAAGGGCGACAAGGTCCAGCTGAAGTGGAACCAGCTGGGCACCGGCATCCTCGTGCTAGCCCAGACCGACGTCGACAAGTCCAACAAGAGTTACTACGGCGAGACCACGCTGTACCTGCTCAGCGTCAACGGCTCCTTTGACGCCCGTGTCAGCCTCGACAAGGAGGGCCCCATCCACGACGTTTCCTGGTCCCCGAACTCGAAGGAGTTCGGTGTCGTCTACGGATACATGCCCGCCAAGACCACCATCTTCAACCACCGAGCCGTCGCGACTCACTCGTTCCCCCTTGGGCCCCGCAACACCATCATCTTCTCACCCACTGGTCGGTTCGCTTTGGTTGCTGGCTTCGGTAATCTGGCTGGCCAGATTGACATCTACGACCTCGAGAAGGATTTCCGCAAGCTCTACACCATCGAGGGCGGAAACCCCAGCGTGTGCACGTGGAGCCCAGACAGCCGTTACATCATGACGGCCACCACCTCTCCCCGTCTCCGTGTCGACAACGGCGTCAAGCTCTGGCACGTCAGCGGTGCCCTCATGTACAACGAGGATATGGTCGAGTTGTACAACGTTCTCTGGAGACCCCAGGCGCTTGACAAGGTGGCCGGTGGCGACCCCATGAACCCCATCCCCGCCCCGCACGCGTCCGCAGCCACGTATCTCGGCTCTGTCAAGACGCCCAGCAAGCCTGCGGGAGCCTACCGCCCCCCTGGTGCTCGTGGCCTCGCTACCCCCCTCCACTTCAAGCGTGAGGACGAGGGAGGTGCCGCTCACGTCAGCATGAACAACGGTTCGGCGCCCATTGGACCTAACGGATTTGGCCGCCCCCGTCGTGGTGTGCCCGGCGCGGAGTTTTCTGTTCCCGGAGCGGCGCCCAAGATCCCGGGAGCTGAGACCGCCGAAGGCGATGAGAATTTGTCCAAGGCGGCGCTCAAGAACAAGAAGAAGCGCAACAACAAGAAGAAGGAGGGCGAGGCCAACCCCGAGGGTCAGAACGGCGGCGGAGCTTCCCTTGCCCCGCCCCCGCGCGACTTTGGAAAATCCGGCCACGAGGGTCGCAGCCCCGAGCGCCGTGGCGGCGGCGGCGGCGGTAACAACCACCGTCACCGCAGCCACTCTCGCAACCCGGGTGCGCCTCGTAACAGGAGCAACACCCACCGTGGCCAGAACGGCGCGCCCCAGGCGCCCAACAACGCCCAGCAGGCCGCGGCGGCCAACGACGCCGGCGCTGACGGCCAGAACCCCAACGCGAAGAAGATTCGCAGCTTGCAGAAGAAGGTGCGTGCCATCGAGGACCTCGAGATGAGACTGGCTGGAGGTGAGAAGCTTGAGGACACCCAGATGAAGAAGATTGGCACCAAGACCTCTGTGCTCAAGGAGCTGGAGGGTCTCGAGAAGGAGGGCCGCTAAATTTCAGAGGACGGCCTGAAGTTAGAAAAGGGGAAAATCTAGGAGGCATCATTTTGCTACCTGGATCCCACTAAATCGTTTTACTGGGTATGGATCATGCGTAGAGGATCAACAAATGCAATTGCATGGCGCGAACGCGCCCACACTTTAATTGGCTTACCATGCGTGACGCTTGTCTTGATTTAAGTGAAGGTGTTTGCAAGCGTCTTGGACAATGTACGTGAGGCGCAGGTTTACTTGGACAAAGGGACATCCTTAAGGATGCAGACATGCAGCGGTGAATTCAGACAACGACGTGAGAGAACTCTATTGCAGGGTAGCAGTACACAGTACTGGTCAGGTGGCAATTTTACCATCACTGGAGAGATTACTTGATAACCAATGATTGCCAGCAGCCTAGAGATACACTTTGAATAGGGAATTCAGGAACTAAGGTAGGTTGCGGGTTACGTTGAAGGTAAGACGGTTGATCCCAACGCATTGAGAGTAAACGTAGGATATAGTCTGGAGAATCTGGGGCGTGGGGTTTGACTAAGCTCTCAGCTGATGCGGTGAGGTCTTCTATGACCAAGAAGGCAAAATGGCTCAAAAGATGCTTGTTCAACCTCTGCTAGACTACAGAGCAGCTGCTGCCAACTTCTCTCGATACTCCTGTTCTTCCTGGATTTCTGAACTTCTCTGCAGCAGTACACCCCCAACATCCATCCTTCTCCCCGCACTCACATGCGGAATAGGTCATTGCAGGCTAAGACATGCAAGACCACATCCCCACCTCGCTGTAATGCAAGGGCGGCAGAGA